ATAATTTTATTCGAAGAATATATAACTCCGGATTTTGTATATATTTTCTACTTTTTTACACGAAAACTTTTGAAATTTTTTAATTTTTTCTATAATTTTCATTAAAATGTCAGTTAATTTAAAAATGACCAAATGAACGAAACATTTTGAACTAATTTTAGAACATTGCCTAAATTATGCCGGCCAAGTTCTTTACCGACGACATGAATCAATTTTAATTAAGTCACTATTTTAAATTAGTTAATTCGTTTTCCCGAACGGACGAACGAACGTTGTTGTTGTTTTTTGTGTGGCAACAACCGTACAGCAACAACGAGCTTTTGCGAATAATTACTTTCCAAGCTTAATAAATTGACAGTGATGAACAAATTAGCATTTGTTTATACAAATAAAAATTAATTTATTAAATAAATTCACGTTCATGATGATTGTAATTGTCAGAGATCGAAAAAAACTGGCATTAAATTTCGATGCCAATTTAAATGGAGAGATAGAGCAAAGCATGATGGAAATTATCAACATAATTAAAATATTTTTTATTTCTATGGCTGAGCACAACAAATTAATGGAATACTGATTTTTATTCGAGCAGTCAGTCAGGCAGTCATTGAATCAGTCAGTCAGTGAGCTTATCTATCATCAGGCATTTGGTTCATCATCTACATAAGAGTACACACGTCAGTGTGTATGTAGGGGGCAGGTCTATAACAGCAGCTGACAAGCATCGGCATCTTCTATGGGGGCTATGGTGTTGTGTGATGATAAGTCGTTGTTAATCACTAATTAGGAATATTTGTGTGTGACTGTGATTATGTGGCATGACCAAACATATGGCATGCTATATTCTTGGTATAGTTCAAGGTTAAAAATTGTTTATAAAGACAATGCAGAAATTAGTTTTCTAGAAACACAACGTAGAGGAAAAGATTTTCCTTGGTTTTTTATAATAAATTTTTTATATAGATTGGAAAATAAGAAGACCATCTAAAGAAAACTTTTGGTAGATCTCTTAAAACTATTTTATATATAGAATATATAAAAATAAGGAACGATAAAAAATCATCTATGATTAAAGGCCTACTACCTATATTGGACGTTTATAAACATTTTAATGTTTATATTCTCCATCACAAAGCGCAGTATATATCTCCTTGCAACAACTCGAAATATTTCCGGGGAGACCGCATAAAGAATATGTTCTTGATAAGAATAAAATTCTGTGCTGATTTTGGTCATGTGTGTCCGTCTGTTCGAATTACGATAAAGCCCGCAATATTCTTCAGAATTGTGGAGCTGTTGAGGTCTTAAGTCTAAAAAGACTTATATTTAATAATAACTCAAAGAAAATGATAGAAAGAAAATACTATATCTTCAGGAAATCTGTGGAATTTTGTAACCTACTTTGCTCCTAATACATAAGCCAGCGATAGGGCTTAACATGTAAAGGCAAAAAGTTCATACAAAAACAATCAAACATTCTTTTGAATAAAGTTTTTTTAATCTGGAAAATTCCTGTCAAGAAAAACTTAAATATTAACTACAGGCTATTTATAATCTGGACTTTATATATAGCGAAATCATCAAATTGTCAAAAAATTGTGTTTCAGTTATCCCATAAGTACCAAATTACAGTCAATTCGGCTGAAAATCGTGTCCAAAATCCTCAAAATAAAAAGTGGGCTTAGAGCCTTTACATGGTGTTAAGCCAGCGACATGTTGTGAATTCGACTTGGCGCGTTTGCACATCAATACAAAACAACAATAACAAATGCGATAACTGTATTTTTATTTGAAATCGATGTATCATTGCCTTATTATACATAACTGTATCAAAATTACGATTTCTACTTAAATGGACTTGTTGCCTTTACATGTTTAAACAACGATATGCTTCTTATTTCATTACACTCTTTATAATTTCTCAGTAACTAACGGTAAATCTATAAAAAATACTTCTAAATAAATCTAGAAATTTCTATTTTATTTGATGACTCTTTTATTTTATCCCAACCAAAATGACCACATTCCGTAACCACATAACGACTTAAATTAATCAAGTATTATCAAAGAAATTCTACCACAAAATCTGAGCTAGTCACACAAAAAAAATTTATAATTATTATGATTGGTGGTTATACCAATATGACGATTAGCCAAAGCTTGATTATTTTCTTTTCATTCACATTTTCGGGTTAATCATCTTCGTTGCGATTTCATACCAAATCGAACTTTTATTGACCTAATTTAGTTGGATCTCGTGCCACCGATATGCTATTTCATTGATTATAGCGCCTTATGGCGGTTCGTTTATTGCACCTGTGTGTATTGTGCAGTATACCTAAACACAAATACAATTTTGTATTTCGAAATGGGAATTCTATGTCGAGATGAACGAAGAGTGTTTGATTTTGTTTAGTCTTTGTGTGGAAAAGATGCTTGTATGGGAAAGCAAATAACGGGGGGAATACAGACGCAACTCTATGTTGTAAAACAAATACGAATTAATTGAAAGTGAAAAAAATAATTAAAAGAAATTTTCTTAATTTGCTAATTACAAAAGTAATAGTGAAATTATCAGTTCGGGAATGGATTTATTTCGAAGGTGTAAAAATAAGATAATCGGGACAGGTGTGAATATTAATTCTTCGTACTTTTATTTGTATTTATTGCAGCCTATATTGGAAATAGGTCATTGGAATGTGTATTGTTGCATCTACATTCATAAATTTTTAAAACCAAAATATCAAGCTGTTTTGATTTTTGCCTTAAAATATTATTGCATATTTCCATGCCAAAATAATATAATTTAATTTTTTGTCTTTGTCAGTTGATTAAAAGTGTTGTACAAATCTAATCGTATGTTTTGTTATTTTGTTTTTCAACGAAAGAAAACTGTTTTATTTTCGTTTAATAAATCTTTTAACATTATCAATTTTGTTGTTATCTGTTAAATAACCTCCAGACTGTTTTATAAGCTTGATTAGTTTGAGAATTTTAAATCCGCATTTATAACCCAATTTCACATTCATATACATGTGATTCGACATAAAATAATTCGTGATACAATTAAAAGCAATGTGATCTGGCGTAATAAAACAACAATTTCCGCAACAAAATAAAATATTTGTCGCGAGAAACCAAAATAATAAAACATAATCGAAACAGTTGTTTATGTACAAAAATATATGTATTGGAATGTTAGGGTCTCCCGATATTAAATTTGCCAGCAGCAAGTCGTCAATACATTATTCACTAGATTAAGGTTTGAGTATGTAATTTCAATCCCTATGTCGTAATGTAACGTTGATCCTGTTCAGTTTATAGATCTTGAAAATATTGTACTATAAATATAAGATATATATTGCCTATTAATATTAAAGAAAACTTAGGTGGTTTTAAATAAATAAAATAAACAATAAAATTAGTTTTAGCTACAATTTTGTTTTCTCAGAAGTCAACATAGCACTTTACAGGAAATCTAGTTTTGCATTTTTGATATATCTAGGGGGAAAGAATTTGTATGGTTATATTGAGTATAGAAATTTGATTATATGTTTATAACTAAACTCAATCCATGTGATACTTTATGAACACACCTCGTGATACTTTATGAACATATCTCGTGATAATTTATGAACCTACCACCAAATATACCCATCATACTTCAACGAATTGTAATAATGTGACCTAATATGTACATAGACCGTTTGATTAATTCCCTAGAAATATCTTTACTTAGTAATGAGTCCATATTTACATACACATATGTACCTGTAACAAAAACAGGGGAACAAAATGTCCTTTTATCAACAATATAAACACAAATAATTCTAAAATGTGTCAGAGTTCCAATTTTGTGCCTCCTAGTTTTATTGATAGGAATTTCATGTAGCCAAATCAGATATTCAAAGTTTTTTTTTTTTTTTTGAAAAATAGATTTTTATGTCAACATTTTTTTGCATTAACCCAATTAATGCAAAAAAATGTTGACGTATTGTTCACGCTGGCCAATAATCCATAAAGTACAAAATGATTGACATGTGTTTTTATTTTCGAAGCCAAATTGGGAGGAAATTAGAAATTTAGTTAAAATTGAATTCGAAGAAATTTGAGTGAGTTACCACCAACCGCTTTTATTCATAAAGAAAATGACCGAAATCGAATTAATATATGATTATTTGGGTACATACAAAAGATACTCTTAGTATCTTATTGCAACAAATAATAAATTATGTACGGGTCGAATGTAAGTACAACATTTGGTATCAATGGCAAGGAAGTTACATTTACATGAACATGGACGTAATTATATATGAAACCTTATTTTATCTTGAACCGGTTTAAAGTAAACTCGAGATAATAAAATATTTATACTAAAGGTTAGGCCTCTGACCAATCCAAATAAATTAATTCCGTTGACATCTTTAAACACATACATATATGTATATAAATATGTATTATATAAAAATCATTAATTCTATTATATACACATATTCATATCTGAAGATTGTTATTGCTTTCTTCTACAATTTTTTGTGAATGACAATATGTATATATGTGTGGGCTAAATTGCTGTTGTTGTTATTGTTGCTGACGTTGTGGTTGTTGTCATAAGCAAAATGTTCACAAATTTGAAACAATAAATTTGAGGAAAATTTATTTTCCGACAATTGGTGGAAGTCGAAAAGAAAGAAAAATAGAAAACTATAAAATAAAAGAATAGAATATTTGGGGGAAAACGAAATGTCGTGTTGTTGTTGTCTTCTATTGCGGAAATATGTTTGCATTTGAAAGAAACAAAAAAAATTGGCTTGTCATGCCGAAAAATAATTATGTGGCTAATTATACAAAGATTGTATTAACACAATTATTCATATTTATAAAATCAGATAATACGTAATTTGAAAAAAAAAATGTTTTTTTTATAAATTCAAATAATATATAACATTTATTTAAATAAACATATATCAAACAAAACATAATGTAAATATTCCACTTACTTTAGGCCTAATTTAATTTGATCGAGTGTAGGCATCGTTCCCATATTGTTACAATTGCAATTACTTAAAGCTTAGTTTGTAACAAAATTAATAAATTATTTTTATCAAAAAGGTATTTGTTTCAAGTATAAACTAAAATGCTTAACGTTGGGATAATAGTAATAATAAATTCACTTTTTTTTAATTTTATGTATTTGTTGTTAATATGCAAAAATATATATTATTTTTTGACTAATTTTCACTTGCACTTTTATATAATTTTGTTCATCTTTCTTGTTAAGCGTGTACACAATTTATGTCCAATGTTTGGGCTTTTCTGTTTCTGTTTTTGTTTTTCTTGTTTTGTTATTTGGTTTCTTGATTTCATCAACTGTTATCACTTTGGCATCGTAAATCTCAATGAAAAGCTTTTCGTGTATCCTTTAGATACGCATATTGTTGTACACACAGCAAACACACGCACACACACACACTGGCATATGGGATACGGCAGAAAGCTTTCAGTGTCCTTTAACATAAACTTTTTTGTATCCACAAATTGCAGATGGAATAATAACAATACCACAAAATATCACATAAAATTTTTTAATATTTTCTTTTCGTTTCTCTTTTCTTTCTTTAATTATTTTGAAATATTTCCTTTGGAATTTTCTTGGGATTTGTTTTTTTCTTCAGCAAACATCTACCGTTTACAAATTGTCCACCGTTCGTGATATCTGTTTAATAGCTTTAAAAGCCACCGACGACAATAGAATAACAAGAACACTTTTTTTTAAAAAGCTATACCGACAGACCAGTCGAACTGAGTAAAATTTGCTCTCGATGTGTGTGCCCTGAGCGAAGGCAACTCAACAACTGTTTGCCTGCGTCCGCTGTGGATGATTTTGGCTTTGATAGAGTTCAGCAACGTTAGCTAGCGGTTGTTACTGCCTGCTGCTGCTGCTGATGGGCTATCACGAAACGTACAACAAACATTCCCATATAATTTCTGTGATTTATTTCAATGGGGTTCTGTTGTGAGTGATTGTGTTTGTGTGTCTTTTTCCCCCTTCCTGCCTGATTCGTACCTCTCTCACTCTCTTTATCTGATTTGCACAGAAAAAGTTCTTTGCACGCAAACAAGCAGTAGTTTGACAGCAAACAGCTGGGAGACCCAAACAAACATTGCTGATTCTTTGAAAAGCTCTTGGTTCTTCGTGTGCCGCTGTTCGTGTTCTGCTGGTCCGTTCTGTTGACGAAATTTCATGTCGGGTTGCTTTTTTATTGTTGTTGCTTGATTTGGATTTGAGCGGTTTTTGTCTGTAACGACGGCGGCTAATTTTCAAAGTCAAGTTTGCACATTTTATTTGTGCCCGTGTACACCTACATAGCTACACTGTAGGCAAAATTGATAGGTACAACAAGAATGGAACACGAAATGTGGTATATACCATGGTGTTATATAGAATCATTTGAACCAAATTAACACATGTTATTCTACTTCTTTGTTTTGGATTTCCAAAATCGGTCAAAAATACATAAAACTTGTGTTACTCGAGCACAAGTTACGTATTTGGCGCACCTTTTACATAAAATCCGATGAAAATAATGATATATGGGACTATATGAAAATCTTGACCGATTTAGAGCAAACATCACCCACGTCATTATAGACTAAATCCGGTATTCAATGTATAATATTGTATATATGTGTGCAAAAGTTACGCCTTTGGTTCATACTTTACATTAAAAATATGAGGGAAATATATGGAACTTTTATTCCAATTTTGGTTCAATTTTTACAAATGTTTAAGGAACTTTTGTAGATTATTAACAATGTTATTTAAAACTACCGCGTGTATTACTTAGCTGGCTTGTGACAGAACGCTTGTTCCATAAGCCGGGCTTAAAAAAGATTTCCAAGCGCGTCGGACTTGTGCGCAACTCATCAAATTTGAAAGGCCATTTTCCGAGATGTTGTCTTCTACTTGATCTTTCCATCCAATTTGTGGCCTTCCTCTTCTGCGTGAACCATCACTTTGCTCGCTTTTATATGCCTTTTGAGCTTGGACATCTTCATCCATTTTCACAACATGGCCTAGCCAACGCAGTCGCTGCAGCTCGATACGTCTGACTATGTCGATGTCCGAGAATAAATGATATAGCTCATGGTTCATTCGACGACGATATTCACTGCCGACGCAGATCGGCCCATAGATCTTTCAGATAATTTTTCTCTCAAACAACCCAAAAGCTGCCGCATCTGCTTTCGTAAGTACCCATGCTTCAGATCCATTTAATAGCACGGGTAGTATCAACGTCTTGTAGAGTCTGAGTTTGGTCTGGCGGGAGGTGGCCTTGCTTTTGAGTTGCTTACTCAGACCATAGTAGCATCCTCTGGGTTTGAAAGGCATACCGAGGTATATATAATCGTTCAATATCTCGAAGCTGTAGTTTTCAAGTTCCACAGTTGGTCCGAGTCAACTGGACGTCTTGCGCGTTGATACCAGCAGCTCGTTCTTCTCGGCATTTACTGCTAGACCCCATTTGGAAAACTCCTTCTCAATTCGTTGAAAGGTGGCTGTTACCGCTCGCAATGTTCAACCCATTATGTCGATGTCAAAGTCTTCGGTTTGGTGTTTTACTCTTTGGTAAAATTTCCGGACTTTATTCTGACTCCTGTACATCTCAATTTGCTCACGCTCACGTTTTTCTCGTTCGTTCTTCCTTGGTCTGTCCATCTTTGTCTTCCGTCGGAGCATGGGCGTAAATAAGACTCATGTAGAAGAACTTCGTTTTTATACGGATAATAGCAATTCGCTATCTACTGGAATAAATCTTGATATGAGGCCTTTTATTCTCCTATTAACCATAAATCCGCTGCCAAATTCATGTCTCGTTTCATGACGTTGCTTGGTATCTATCATCCTACGTCACCCTACCACGTGTTTAGTAAATGGAAAAATCATAATCACTTATGATCTAAAATCACTGATAACTCAAAATCTTATCTGCTAAAGAATAATTTTCGCTTTCCTTTGTGATTCATTCGGACACAACATGCAAAATGTTGATCTATTCAATTTATTAGCAGTGTATAAAGTAAATTTGCCACACCGATATGGTAGCCTGTTCGTTTTTATATTTAGAACAGACTGTTTAAATGTATGATGTAGGTTTGTGTTTTCTTTTCAGCATTTTTTTTTTTATCAAAACTTATTAGGTAAGCATTTTTATGTGAAGCAAAAAACCCCAAGAAGATAAAAAATTTTACGCTTTTGGAAGTTATTTCGTCTATTTCTGGTTTTCTTTGGGTTCAGGGCGCGGAAGTAAACTGGTTTAATTACTGCATTTCTCAAATGACGAATCTAAAGGTGAAGGAAACCTATTGTTTAGATATATGACTGTTGTAAATGAGTCAAAATAGACAGTTAAAGTGTGAAGTATTTTTATTACCTTTTGACCTTGATTTAGGCCAACAAAATGAAAGGAATTTGAAAGTGAAATTGATAAGAAGTGGGAAGGAAAAACAATTTTGATAAAATATTTTTGGGCACATCATGTATGTCCTTGCTGTTCGGGCTAGGGAAGTAATTTTATAGCTAAATGATGATATTAGTATAGATAAACGAACAAGGAAGGTATAATAAATAAAATATGAGAATTAAATTCGGATATTCTTAAATTAATGATAATACCTTATAGATAATATAAGGGGTAAATTAATAAACAAATCCGGCACGTGTTGTGAACATAAAAAAATATTTTTTTTTTCTATTTTTCTAGGTAAACTACTTGTTACTTCGATTAATTAAATGGTTTTCGTGTAAATAAGGCGGATAGTGGGGTACATACATGACACTCGAGAGAGTGCTTGAACAACTGTTACTATTTGATGTAATTAAAATATAATGAAGGACAATTTCACTTTTCTGACTAGTTGAAATATTTCCTTAAGCATTTCATAATACGAAAGAAAACCGACTACAAAAAGAACATGAGTAATAACATGGGTACGTATTTCTTCTTTGTCCTACATAATTTATGTTTCCGTTATTCCTTCAACCATCCCTTATCATTATTCCATATAACCAATGTAATCGTTCGGAAATTATAGTAGTAACTATAATTATGGCCTACGTACGCAAAGTATGATTAGCAAACACAATAATTCCAATTTTAATATTATATTCATAAATCGATTCGAGTTGTAACCAAAAAAATTAACATTGGCACAGTGTTTTCATAGGATTGAAACATCGCAGATTCAAAATTTGTATATCCATGATTATGAGAAACATTTAGTATTTATAGTTTTCTGGGATGATTGAGGGAAAGGAAATAAAAACCACAAATACCAATTTTTCATTTTTGAGGACCCTACATAAAAAAATCTTATCTCGTGGTAATAAGAACGAGAAGTACGCCCAAGAAATTCAATGAAGAATATGAAGTATGAAATGTGTACACTAAATTGTTATTCAATTTTTCGATTTCATGGTTATGACTCTATCACACAAATGCAGTTGAAATCTTTAATAACGACATTGTGTTGAAAAACATATCGAGATACATATATAAAAGTCTTGAAAATGATTTGACATATCTTATAATGACTACCGTTTATAGCCGTTCCCTTGATCATTATGTTCGATTTTGACTGTATGGTGTTAGATGAAAAAATTCCAGAAATAATTAATTTCGAAGAAAAAAATGTAATTTATGGTTACAATTTATATCCATTGTGCCATCATTTCTCAAATTTCCAATAAAATGGCTCCCTGTTATGACAAATCGTTGACCCATCCCGCTATTAGTAGTGATGAAATTGCTATTTTATCTGATTATTTTGAAATCGATTTATTTATTTTTATGGATTTTTTAAATTACACACTGTGCTCCACATCACGCCCACAGAAGTCCATAGCAGTAATAACTTGGGCCACCCAACCACCAAAATCACCTGTCTACACACAATTATCAAATGGTAAACAAGAGTACACACGCCACATACTAACTAATCAGCGCCATATCTTCTAATATCCAACAGAACAAAACAAAACAAAAGGGGC